CCGATGCCGATTTCTGGCGCGGTGAGGTTCTGCTGAACTAACGTGGGCTCAAAATCGCATCTGTTTGCCTGGTGTCGCCAGCCTTTTCCGTGTAGTAGGCGGTCCCCCAACAATGCGGGGCGTTAATTGCTWTGCYGTAACAAAGTATCTGCRAGATGTACTGGTGGTTCAATTCTTTTATGCTGTGACCTTAACATTGTCTTGTCTAATGCTCCTGTTCAACTCATCACACCTTGGAGCTGGCCTATTCAAGATGCAAAACTCAGATTGGAGGCAATGCCATCAGTCCTTGCTCAAGGAAGAAGTAGATGAGAGAAAAAGGAGCAACGTACAGGGATATTCGGAAGAAGAAGAAGAAGGAGAAGCAGCAGACGAGCCAGAAGGAGAAGCAGCGGCAGCAGCAGCAGCAGCAGAAGAAGAAGAAGAAGCAGAGGAAGGAGAAAAAGCAGAGGAAGAGGGAGAAGAAACAGAGGAAGAAGACGATGACAATGGCGGCGAAGAAGAAGAAGAAGAAGAAGAGGAAGAACATAGGGATTCTATGACAGAAGAAGACGACGACGATGACGATGACAACGGTGACGAAGAAGAAGAAGGAGAAGAAGAAGGAGAAGAAGGAGAAGGACGAAGGACAAAGGAGAAGAAGCAGAGGAAAAAGAAGAAGACGACGACGACGACGAAGAAGAAGAAGAAGTAGAAGAAGAAGAAGAGAAGAAGAACACTATGACATGTCTCTCCTTGCACACTTGCTACCTCTTTGTCTCCTGCAATAACTACTACTGATTGTTAATCAGAAATCAGTTGAATAGTAATGAAGAAGGGATCAATGTTCGATGAATCTCCCCTCGCCACTCTGGAGAAAGAACCTTTCTTTGGCTCTCTATCACTCTCCTCTCAACTCCAATAGCACTCCCAAAAATGCTGTTCAGCTCACTCTTATGCGGGTCGTACAAAGGACAATGCCTTCCACTACCTTCCCATCAACTACCCATCGGAATCCGTCACTCTTGGTGAAGCGTCTGTCCAACCGGAAAACTCCAAGGGGTCCTCTTGGTATCAGCACAAATTAATGTAGTGGAGATGATAGTCCCCACCATAGCCAAAGGTAAGACTTGAAGTTGGTGGCCTCCTTTCTCCTTCTCCGCTTTTGCACCATTGTACTAGGCTACCAGAGTGGCCCGGGACCACTTGCCCGGCCGGGCCAAAAAAATAAAATAAAATATATGGGGTGTGAGCGGACAGTCTGTAGAATTTTCCATCTGGTGTGGGTGAGTGAGTCTGCTTTGATTTTCATCACGGGTACCTTGAGGGCAGTGGTTGGTGCCCACCTCAAGGTATTAGTTGTCAGGCAGTCGTTGATGCTCAAACACAACGGGGGTTAAGGTGGAT